TTTTGGAGCCAGAAGTGACCATATAAGGACAAGTGTGTGGAACTGGGAACAATATGTATTGCTCCACCTCTATCCTGATCTTGATCTGACTCAGAACCCGAGGACATGCTGTGGTAGCGACTTNNATAATCTTGATTCATACTTGATCAAATTAATCAATAACCCTGTTTTATGGTCTATTTTACTGTAAATAAGACCATAATTTACTAAATGAACATAATGCTGTATTGAAAAAGACTTGAAACTAGCGACTGAGACATAAACTTATTCGGAAACTGTTTACTGAGGTAACTAATCAATTCAGGAGTAGGGTCATTTTCTCATAAACTTACATAGAATCTGACTTATTTTTGCCTGGAGTCACCTTTAAAAAAAAAATGCAGTTTTAATATATTAGCTTCCCTGTTTAGACCCAGAAGCTATGTCTACTATTTATTAAACTGTCTATGGGTAAAACATACTGAGTATACAGACATAGGGCAGATGACTACATTATGATGCAGAGGGGAAAATGTTCTTTTGCATTTTACAGTGCAAAGACCCTCAAAAGACTTAAAAAGATTTTGAGCAGCAAGTCATCTTAACACATCACATAACTCTTCTCAAAATATTCTTGTCATGGCAACAGCGCCATCTTAGTTTATTTTTGCCCTTTCTGCCCATTTTCAGTGCCTGTCAGTTCCACCACCTCAATAGTCTTTTTTCCACAGCAGATATGTTGACTTGTCATAGCAGGACAAACACAGGTGTCACTAATAACATTAACATTAAATTTTACATTAACTCTGCTCGTTTCCCCAGTAAGCCTTGACAGTGTAACAGTAAGCTATCATGCACAACTTGAAGCAGCTAAATGGAATTCAGCCATAATTAATTGTATTATTTAAATGTGTTTCTCTTACTGTGACATATCAAAATATATTTTGTTAAAAAGGTCCACAATGACCATGATGTCCATGATGAGTCAATCAATTCTGGGATACTGTGGCATCTGTAGATAAAAATGGTTCTTTCTGAGATAATGAAAACACAAAAATTCCTATATTCAGGTGATTATACACTAATTAAACAAATCTATGAACATCATATTCCATTTCTGACAATAGAGCCTCCTAAATGTTACACACCAGACCTTTAACTAGTATTGAAGAAACCTAACCTTTTTCCTGTATTTGTTTTGAGCCGACACAACACCCACCAACTGTCACGGATTGGTATTTATAGGACAATTAAGACCTGGCCATGTAAATTCAAATAATAATTCAAATAAAAGTCAGACTGCATTGACACGTGGCACCCACACAATCTCAGGATCAATCTTGGAACAGATTTCATTGCCCAGTGTGTTAGTGCACCATCTATAGGTACTCCAGTCAAATAAACAAATGCCCTCCCTGCACCTCCTACCGGCATCCATAGTAGAAATATACAAACCTGGCTGAAGCAATGTTGCAACCGTTCAGGCAAACTGGTGTATGCCTCAATTTCACTTTATTTCAAAATGACAGAAGGAAATAGTGTGCAATCAGTGCAAGGCGAGAAAAACAGTGTGAGCTTGAAAGTACCGGTGAGGGAAACACACACACCCCTTACCCACTAACTGTAGAAAAATCTAGGTCTAGGTAATATGTATAGATTGGCTTTTTTGGGTTAAGAGTTTTTCTGAGGTCCAGAAAAATGCTTGTCGTTACAGGTTTTGCTACTATAACAAATTGTGTTATGTTGCAGCCAGGGTCACACAAGTTCATTGAATAGTGTTTACATTTTGACTTGTACTGAGTTTGGGCTCATCCTCCATCTTCTGAGGAGGCCAACTGGGGCCAATTGGCCAAAACACCCGACTGGTCAGGACCACCATGGGAGCCTGGTTCCTCACTCTCCTTAACGAAGAGCCATTAACAATCAAAGTCTTAACGGCCCTGCAGCTTAACGAGGGGACTTAACGAGCTTCTTAATGAAGCCCCGGCCATCATTACCACAGTGAGTGGTGGCAGCGCTGATTGAAAGCACAGCTCAGAGTCATTCTGGAGCAAGAGAGCCCAGCCTAAGGAAACCAAATCCATTTAAGACTGACCTCTCACCCTTATCTGTTCCTCCAAGATTAATAGGAAAGTATAATAAGGAAAGCGCACTTAACCAGATATAATGGCTATGGATATTTTATGGCTACAGAGGTGGCACAGCTTTAGAATATCTTTCAGCCACCTGTCAGTGTGCAAAAATATCCAAACAATATTCTAACACAACTGGTTATCACCATATTTCACATCCGCTTAACTTGAATAATATGACATCTCATAACTCCTGCATTTCATATCCCCCTGATATACCATCAAATATATCAAGAGCCAAACAATATGAAGCCACTGGCCACAAAAGCCAAATTTACTGATGTGTCACCTCTGCTTGGAGAGTGATTTCAGCTTGATAAGCTGCCATTTCCATTTTCTCTGGCGCCAGTTGTGTATGCAACAACCAGCCTCCACAGACTCCTAAATCTCTTCAATTACTTATATTATCATAAGGTAATATGCTTATACTCATATACTCAATTTCACATTTTTGCAATAACCATAAATCACGAGGCGAGGAGGAAAAGTACTCTCTGCCAACCTCTAAATCACTTAAATAACTAATATCCCATATACACAATTTCACATTTCTGCCGCACAATAAATCATAAAAACACCAGGAAAATGTGTTTTTTTCCACAGCTGTGCATTAGCCTAATGAATGTGGATGTTTTCCCCCACAAATTCAGCATGTGTTTGTGTGTGTTTGCTGTGTTTGTGTGGGACTGAAAGGGAGGTGGGTTTACAGTGGCAGGAAAGATGACAAAATGTCAGCTAGCTGCTCACGTGAAACAGCAATAGGTGTACAGCAGCAGTGTGGGGCACCGCTGCGCCCTGCGATTGGCATCAAGGCTCAATTCCCCAAACCCATCAGGGAGAGTTTGCAGAGGTGCACAGGCAGGTGTGAGAATATCCCCCAATCTCCTCTGTAAGCCCGTGGAGGGGCGGAAGCTATTCATCTTCTGTGTGGTGACTTCAAAAGAACCAGAGGCCTATAGGGCAACTGCAAAACCCCACCAGCCAGTCAAATTCCACAACGGGGCTGGGTGGAGGTATCGCTGGGGGCTGGGAACAAGCCAGCTCTTTCATATCAGCTAGGGAGTGTCAAGCGGGGCAGAGGGGAGAGGGTCAGCCAATCGATTTGGAGCAGGCCCACCAATTCAGAGAGATGTCTGAAGAAACAGGCCAGTCGGGGAAAAACGGCAGCAAAATTAATTTGGGACAGGGCCCATATGAGTTCAGAGAGCCTGTTTGAACTGAAACCGTGCCTTGTGGACGGACCACCTACCACTGAGATATCAGTAGTTTTGCTTGAGGGTATGTGTAAGTGTTTGTGTGTGTACGTTTGTGTGCATATGTGTCTTATACTATACGTGACCATTTTAACAACAGTTTTTGCAGGTGTGTGTTGGCCACAGTAACTTTAAAGAAAGAGGTGTAATGACTCTGAGTCTCCTTCTGCCCTAGCTGAACCTCCACTTGGCACAGTCATTGCACAGAGTGGACCAGGAGCCAAGGCGTGACTAAGAATATGTGTGTGTGTGTGTTTGTGTCTGTGTACTTTGTGTGTGCCTCTGAGTGCCAGCAGCGCCTGACCTGGAGAGAGAAGAAACAGTTGAGAGCCGGCCAGGAAGTGTGGGGCGGTTAATAGAGCACAGCTCAAAGCTGAGGCCAACATCTACACGTCGACTAATAATTAAAGTCAACAACTCTCTGGGCTGACTGTGATCAGCTCCACCATCATCAGATGTCTTTGCTCTCTGTTCCATCTGGAGAGCGATGGATCCCCATCTGGGACTCAGGAGAGCGAGATATAACACACACCAATGCCTGCACACGTACACACAAACAAGTGTGTGGACACAGGTATAGTTGGCTCTTGTGATGCCTCTCAGATTCAAGAGTGGAATTAACTGCAGCAGTATAATTTGTATTTAACAGGTAAGGTATGGTATGAAAATGCTGAAACTACATTTTTTAAAAGGAAGACCCTCTCCAGCATTATTAATATTTTCTTTACTTACACAAAAAACACGTAACACAACATAACCTCCATTTTAACCTTCATGTGAGTCTCACAAGTGAAATAAAAGGCAAATTCACATATATTCCGAATTCCATTATGTTCCAAATGTATTAAATACTTTCAAGTTGAATAAGATACTTCCTGGGCAGGCCTATGTTATTTAGCACTAATTTGGGAGAAAAAACTATTTCTGTAGAGGTTAGTAAACACGCATTCATGACTGGCTTATCGTTAGACATGCTAGCAATTAACCAAATTATTTGATTGGAAGTGCACCAAATCAACACAGCAAATTTATGTTTCCTATAATTGCTGCCAAATTA